AGCCTTAATCTTTGGTGGATGACGATATATTTGGTAATCATACTGATTTTCTAACCACTTTGTTATATCTTTGAGTCAGAAATGACCATACTCTTCTTTTTTGCACACCTTTTGTAGAGCTTTCACATTCGGATAAAATCCGGGAATATTATAATAGAGTGCATGACAAACTATAGCTACCTCAGCATATGGATCTATATATATAGTAGGTATACTCATTTTGACTATACCTTTACTTTGTATCAATATATTATACCGTAAAAAATAGCTGTGGCATTTTGTCGACCACACCCCAATCGAATATCTCATGGATCAAGCTCTGATCAGGAATTGGAATTGGAGCAGGTGAATCAAGCTTTGAAAGATGAGTTATCTAACAAAGTTTCAATCAATAAATCGAATGAGAAATATATAAAGGATCTGGAACGTAAATATATCAGGTGTGAAAATGAAATCCAATCCCTCAATAAAGAATTGGAACAGCTTGAGAATGCTTCGAATGAAGAAAAGTCAGAGTTGAGATCAGAGATATCGTCCCTTAAAAGGAGCTTATACCAAGCTAAAAAGGAAATCTGAGATAAGGTATTCTATATTGATAATATAGAGAAACAATTACAAGAATCAGAAGAGCGAATTCAAAATCTAAGGCATAGATTCAAAGTTATTTTTTTTCGAAGAAGCTCTCCAAGTTTATATAATTCAGAAGAGGAAGATATAAATATGGAGAATCTTGATCTTTTTATACAAATCGAACTAGGCTTGACTCATATTGAAAATCACCTTAGAGATGCTGGAACACCGTTAAATAATCCTATAAATATTATAAATGGCATTAGAGGTTCCTTAAATACTGTTCGGCATAATTATCAGTCTGCATACCAGGATATAGATGGCATTATTGTTCAAAGAGATGATAGCAATAATCAGATAGTCCAGCTACAGCAGGATGTCAATTACTATAGACAACAAAATGCCGACCTTCAGAACCAAACCAATCAACTTATTCAAGTACGAGATACCTTGCAAAATCATATTAACCGACTTACACTAGAGCGTAACAATTTTCAAAATAATCTTGCTTTAATGACTACAGCTTATAATAATGAGCGGACAGAATGTCATAGATGGAAGCAGATCGCTCAGCAATTTGAAAGAGAAATGCAGATGCGGATTAATACTTTATTACTTGAAAAATTTGCACTCAATTTTAAACTACAGAGGTGCCAAAGGCATGGGAGAGAATTACAACAAAGATATAATTTGCGAGGGTATTTGTGGCATAATATTATCTTAGCATTAGAAGAACAGTCTAAACTTAGGTGTTCTCTCAAAATTATTTATAAGATATCTATTCATTGCTTAGAATGGAAGCTTCAACAATGCCGGGCTGATAAAGGATTATTAGAATATAATTGAGATCAGCTCTTTGATAGATATTATAATAAATTCAAGGATCAGAAGGCAAGTCATATCAAGTGGAAAAATAGGGAGCGCAATTCTCAGCAATTAATTTTAAATTTACAAGCCCAAATTTTATTACTACAAAATAATCAATCTATAAATCTGAATATGGCGGCTGCTGATAGACAACATATTTATCAAACTATTCAAACAAGTCTTACCCATATTCCATCATATATTGGACAGGAACCACCAGATGATTATTGTAATAGAATTGAAACAGCCATCAGCTATACTGATACAATGATTGCTGATGCTAATACTGCAAATGCCAATACTTTTATTGATGCACATAAGGCAGATATTTATAAATTGAAAATGACAGGAAAGTATTTACCAGTTCCACCTCAACATGCAGAAAATAATATTAATACTCCAGCTCACTTTAGAGCATGGCTTGGAGATACCTATCTACAAAGAACAGTTGGTACTCGCCAGTCTGCTATTCAAAGATTATCTCAAGAAA